TGTGCCAGCAGGTCCTGGCTGCTGTGGCGGGCGCTCTGCAGCTTGCCCAGCGAGTGCTGGAGGGCTCTGTGCTGCACCTTGCTGGACAGGGAGCCCAGGCGCACGAAGTAGCTCTGCTGCTGCTTCTGCTGCTCCGGCTCGAAGCCCTCCACGGCCGTGGCCAGCTTGGCTGAGGGACAGGAGCTGCTGAGGTGGCCCCACCACCACCACCACCTCCTGTCGAGCCTCCATCACCCTGCCCAGGCTCTGCCCACCCCTCCTACCTAATTTCTCGTGATTTCGACCGACATGAAATGAATATAAGGGGTTTTCTAATGAAAAACACCAGGAGCCCCCCCGAGTCTCTTTGTGGTTGGGATGAGGAGAGGGAAGGGTTGGGGCTGGAAAACACCCCAGTGGGTCCCTCAATTCCCGCTGGACCAGGACCAGGCTGCCATGGATGTCCCTGGCTGGGCTGGGCAGCCAAACTTGGCACCTTTGCTGAGCTCTTCCTCAGCTCCAGGGGCTGCTCCAAGCCCCTTTTCCCACCATCATCCCACGACACGTCTCCGGGGGGTCGGGATCAGCCGCTCACCCAGCTCCTCGTTGGTCATGGGCAGGTAATGGTCCACCAGCTCCTCCGACTTCTCCAGCACGGAGCCCACCCCGCCGGCCACCATCTGGCCCACGGAGGAGCCCATGACGGTGCTGACCCCGCTGCTGACCGCCGACCTGGTCAGCTCCACGCCGCCCTGCACGGCCCCCCGGGTCATGTCCACCACGCCGGTCACCCGGCTGGTCACGGCGTCCCTGGCGCCGGCCACGGTGCTGCTCAGCACGTCCCGGGCCCCCGTCACCGTGGAGGTCACCAGGAGCTTGGTGTCCGAGATGAGCTGGGAGGGGACACCCACAGCCCCCCGTCAGGCGCTGCTGGGGGGTCCCCCCTGCGTGTTTGCCCACCCCACCCACCCCTGGTACCTTCTCAGGGGGCTGCTGCAGGATGGGCAGCTTCTCCTCCAGCTTGTCCAGCCCTTTGCAGGCCAATTCGTTGGCGCTGGAAACTGGGGACGGGAAAAGAGCTGGGTTAAACCTCCCCCTGCCCTGAGCAGCAGCTCTGCTGGGGACGGGTTTTGGGGCAACCCAAAACTCGTGGGCTGTTTTCCCTCCCGTCTTCTTGTCCAGCTTCTCCAGCCCTTCGTTCCTCGGTGATATAAACAGGATGTGAGACCAGAGGATTCCTCTCCTGCTGCCTTGCAAGAGCCCTTTTTTGGGTACCCCAGAATTCATGGGGTGCTGTTCCCCCCTCCCAGCTTCTCCTCCAGCTTCTGCAGCCCTTTGCAGGCAGATTTGGGGGCAGTGGGAGCCAGAGGTATGAAAACAGATTATTCCTCTCCTGCTGCCTTGCATGAGCTCTGCCAGGGCCAGGTTTTGGGTACCCCAAGGGGTGCTGCTCCCTCCAGCTCCTGCTCCAGCTTCTCCAGCCCTTTGCAGGTGTAATTTTTGGTGAAAGGAACCAGAAATGAGAAAACAGCTTTTCCCACTCCTGCTGCCTTGCAGGAGGCTCTGCTGGGGCCAATTCCTGGGGTACCCCAAAATCCACAGGGTGTTGCCCCCGCCCTGGCTTCTCCTCCAACTTCTCCAGCCCTCTATTCCTTGGCAATAAAAACTAGAGGTGTGAAAGCAGATCATTCCTCTCCCGCTGCCTTGCAGGAGCTCTGCCAGGGACAGCTTTTGGGTACCCCAGAATTCACAGGGTGCTGCTCCCCCAGCCCAGCTTCTCCCTCAGCTCCCCCAGCCCTTTGCAGGTGTATTTGGGGGTGGTGAAAACCAGAGATAAGAAAACAACTTTCCCCTCTCCTGCTGCCTTGCAGGAGGCTCTGCTGTGTCCAGTCTGGGCACACCCCAAAACTCAGGGGGTGCTGCCCCCGCCTCATCTCCTCCAGCCCTTTATTTCTTGGTGATTTAAACCAGAGACATGACAGCAGATCGTTCCTCTCCTGCCTTGCAAGAGCTCTGTGAGAGCCAGCTTTTGGGCCTCCCAAAAACTCACGGGGTGCTCGTCCTTCCCCAGCTTCTCCTCCAGGTCTGTTTGTGGGTGGTGGAAACCAGAGATAAGAAAACAGCTTTTCTCTCTCCTGCTGCCTCGCAGGAGCTCTGTGAGAGCCAGTTTTGGGGGACCCCCAGCCCCTGTGGGGTGATCTCCAGCCCTTTCTCCCTTGGCCATATAAACCTGACACACAAACCCACATCACCCCTCCCCTGCTGCCTCGCAGGAGCTCTGCTACAGCCAGTTTTCCATCACCCCAGAACTCAGGGGGTGCTGCTCCAGCCCTTTCCCCCTCGGTCACACAAAGCTGACACACCAACCCGGATCATCCCCCTGCTGCCGCCTCACCGGAGCTCTGCCAGGGCGACTTTTGGGGCGCTCCCCGTCCCCGTGGGGTGCTGTCCCTCTGCCCCCCACTCACTCTGTGGCTCCAGCCGGGTGAGGAGGGGCTGGGCCCCGCTCACGGCCGCCGCCGTCAGCGTCTTCACCCCCTTCTCGGCGGCATCGCAGACGGAGCGGACGTAGGGGTGGCTCTCCTTGGTGGAGCTGTAGGCGCTGGACACCATGTCGTAGGCAGAGCTCACCAGGGGCAGGTTGGCCACGCGCGTCCCGATGCTCTGGGGGGGCGTGGGAGGAGTCAGGGTGGGGGTGATGGACCCCAAATCTCACAGGGGACCCCCAAATCTCACAGGGGACCCCCAAATCTCACAGGGGACGGGGCGTACTCTGTGCCCCCACCCGCCCAGGGATGGTTTTGGGGGGCTCCCGGGGCTCTCCCAGCCTTGTGAAGGAACAAAGCAGAGTCCCGTCCCCGAGCAAGACAGGACGTGTTTTGGGATGAACCCCCTCCCTCCCCCCCAAGCCGCCCCCCCCTCCTTTCCTCCACTGACCTGCTGCTCCTCCGCCTTGGGCTGCGCCGTCGCGGGCTCGGGGGTGGCCATGGTGGGGCTGGGGGGGACGGGACAGGACCGTGAGTGGGGTCAGACCCCCCCCCACCACTCCCCTCAAACCCCCCGGATGGGGGAACCCAAAGTTTCCCACTCCGTGGGCCGGGGCTGCTCCCACGCGGTTGGGAAAACCCGGGACAGGGGGGGCCCGGGGACCGGCACCGGGACCGGGATCTGGACCGGGACCAGGATCGGGATCGCAATCGAAAGCGGAACAGGGACTGCGATCGAAAATGGCATCCCAATCGGGATCGGGATCGGGACCGGGATATGGATCGGGCTCACCGCTGGTGGCTCCGCTGGGTTCGGCTCCGCTCGGCTCGCCTGTGGCTCGGGGCTCGCCCCGCTCCTCCCCAGCGCCCTTTATACCCCCGGAGCCCGGCCCCGAGCGCATGTGACCGGAGCCGCCCAGCGGGGCCGGCCCGGGGCGCACCGGGAGCACCGACCGGCGGGGCCGCGACCGCGGAGAACCGGGGCTGGGATCCCCCCGGCACCGGGATTGGGATCCTCCCGGCACCGGGATTGGGATCCCCTCGGGGACCGGGGCTGGGGTCCCCCCGGCACCGGGATTGGGATCCCCCCGGCACCGGGATTGGGATCCCCTCGGGACCGGGATCGGGATCCCCTCGGGGACCGGGGCTGGGGTCCCCCCGGCACCGGGATTGGGATCCCCTCGGGACCGGGATCGGGATCCCCTCGGGACCGGGATCGGGATCCCCTCGGGGACCGGGGCTGGGATCCCCCCAGGACCGGGATTAGTATCCCCCCGGGACCCGGCTGCAGCCCCCCGAGAACCGTCTGCATCGAGTCCCCCTCCCAGCACCGGGACTGGGCTGCACTGACCCCCCGGTAGCGGATCCTTGGGAATAGGCTGCACTGACCCCCCGGTACCGGATCCTCGGGAATAGGCTGCACTGATCCCCCCCCAGTACCAGATCCTCGGGAATGGGCTGCACTGACCCCCCAGTACCGGATCCCCCTGGAATGGGCTGCACTGACCCCACCCCAGTACAGGATCCCCCGGGAATGGGCTGCACTGACCCCACCCCAGTACCGGATCCCCCTGGAATGGGCTGCACTGACCCCACCCCAGTACAGGATCCCCCTGGAAGGGCCTGCACTGACCCCAAGTACCGGATCCCCCAGGAAGGGTTGCACCCGACCCCCCCCCGGTACCGGATCCCCCAGGAATGGGCTGCATTGACACCCCCCCGGTACTGGATCCCCCAGGAATGGGCTGCATTGACACCCCCCCGGTACTGGATCCCCCAGGAATGGGCTGCACCGACACCCCCTCGGGACCGGGACTCCCCCAGCCTGGTCTACACCGACCCCCCGGGCCCCCATTCCCCAGGATCAGGCTGCACTGACACCCCCACCCGGACCCAGATCCCCTCCCCCGGGCACTGGAGCCCCCCCAGGAGCCCCCCCAGGATCCCCCACACCGACCTTCCCCACACTGAGCCCCCAGGACAAACCATGCCCTGAAACCCCCCCCGGCCCCCTTCCCCTCGTGGGGATCCCCCAGAACGGGGGTCCCAGTGCTCCCCACACCTGGTCAGGGCAGATGGTCCGACTGGTCCCGGTGGGTGCCGGTGGCAGGAGGGGGCACAGTCACGGAGCGCCCGGTGTCACCCACTGGGTGCTGTGACCACGCTGTGCCTGTGATGTCGGGGACACCCCGGGGCTGTGGTGACAACGGGGACAAAGTTCAGTGCCACACGGCCGCGGGGCACAGTCCAGGTGGCACCCTGTGGCACCCTCAGTCCCAGCACCTCACTGGCACCCACCCCGCTCTCCCAGCCCTGTGTTGGGACCCTCCCTGGGGGTGCCCCCCGCTCTGCCACCCGTGCCGAGCCCCCCCTTGGGTGGGCCCAAGGCACCACAACAAGCTCTGAGTCATTTTTAAGGCCAAAACAAGTTGTTTTCTTCCTCTTTCAACTGGTTTGAAGCCGTTAAAAGACACGAAATCCCAACACTCCCAGGGCTTGGGGACGGGCACAGGCCGCGCCCTCCACGTGCCACCGTGCCACCGTTCCCACACGAGTCCCTGGCAGCGACATCGGGGTCCCACGCTGGGTCACCAGGTCCATCCCATCAGGGTCGGGGTTCCCAGGCACGGGCACTCCCCCAGCCCCGCGGTGCCCGTGGCACTGAGGTGCCCGTGGCTCAGCGCTGGCTGCACACCCGCGGGGCAGCGGGCGCCTGGCGCGTCCCCCCGACGGTGACACAGCCCTCCCACTTGGCCATATCCACCGGGGCGTCCTCGGGGTACTCCACCAGCGCCGGGGCGAAGGGTCCCACGAGCCAGGGCAGGGGCGTGTGCTGCCCCACGTGCTCCAGCAGCTCCTCGACGCCCAGCTGTGCCCGCGCCACCCCGTCCCGGCTCTGCGCCAGCACCAGCTCAGACAGGTCGTGGAAGGAGCGGGCGCGGGCCAGGGCGGCCTGGACGCCCTCCACGCCGTGCCGGACGTGCCCCGCCGTCTCCTGGACGCTGCTGGGGAAGGCCCGGGCGCCGGAGGCCAGGCGGGCACAGGCGCCGTGGAGCTGCTGCAGGAGCCCCCGGAGCATGACCAGGGCCCGGGCCTCCACCTGCGGGGCACCGGCGGGCACGGGGGGCTCCAGAGGGGCTCCAGACCTTGGTGTCCTCCATGGGTACGGCCCCCCCACCCCATCCCGTGGTGTCCTGGCCCCCCAACCATCCTGTGGTGCCTTGGCCCCCCAACCCATCCTGTGGTGCCTTGGCCCCCCACCCCATACCATGGTGTCCTGGCCCCACAACCCATCCTGTGGTGCCCTGGCCCCCCACCCTATACCGTGGTGTCTTGGCCCCCTCAACCCATCCCATGATGTCCTCCACGGGTACAGCCCCCCACCCCGTCCCATCCCTTGGTCTCCTCCATGGGCAAGGTCCCCATCCCATCCCTTGGTGTCCTCCATGGCCATGGCCCCTACCCCATATCCTGATGTCCTCCCCAGTCACGGCCCCTCACCCCAGACCTCACTGTCTTCCAAGCCCAGGGTGTCCTTCATGGGCATGGTTCCTCTCCCCATCCCCACCTTGGTGTCCTCCACAGGCACAGCCCTCATAACTCACTGTCCCCCACCCCATCCCTTGGTCTCCTCCACGGGCATGGTCCCCCTCCTGCATCTTGATGTCCTCCACAGCCGTGGCCCCTCACCCCACACCTCACTTCCAAGGCCATAGCACCCCACCCCACCCTCAGTGTCTTCCCTGGGTACCCCTGCCCTGTACCTTGGTCTCCTCCATGGGCGTGGCCCCCCACCCCAATACTTTGGTGTCCTCCATGGCCACAGCCCCCCACCCCCTATCTGGGTGTCCTCCACAGCCACGGTCCCCTGTCCCACACCTCGATGTCTTCCACGGACACAGCCCACCCCTCCATCCCCGGGTGTCCCCCGAGGTGCCCCCCATGCCATACCTCGCTCTCCTCCATGGGCACACCCTCCTGCCGGCTCCACTCCAGCCACAGCCGGTGGAGTCTCTCCCGGGTGCCGCTCCGGGGCCCGTCGGAGCCGCGCTGCCCCTCCTCGATCTGGGGGAGGTTCAGCCAGGTGGGAGCACACCCAGGGGGTGCCGGGGCTGCCCTGGGGTTCCCCGTGTGCCACGTCCTTACCAGCTGGATGAGGTGGTGGAGCTGTGCCAGCAGGTGCTGGGCGCTGTGCCGTGCCCGCCGCAGCTCGCCCAGCGAGCGCCGCAGGGCCCGGTGCCGCAGCTCGGCCGACAGGGAGCCCACGCGGACAAAGCAGCTCTGCCACCGCCTCTGCCGCCCCGGCGGGGACACCACCGGGCCCGGGGCCACCTCTGAGCCTGCTGTGCCCATCTCTGGGCCCCGGGCCACCTCAGTGCCTGCTGTGCCCACCTCCGTGCCCTGGGTCACCTGTGCACCTGCTGTGGCTGCTGTGGGACCAGGGGTGAGGATGGCGTGGATGGACCATCCTGTGCCAGGCACTGGATCACCCCATGCTGGGCACTGGATCACCCTGCACCAGGCACTGGATCCACCCCACACCGGGTACTGGATCACCCCATGCCCAGCACTGGATCACCCCGCAGCAGGTACTGGATCACCCCATGCCCAGCACTGGTGTGATCCCTGCACCAGGTACTGGATCGCCCCATAGTGGGCACTGGATCACCCCATGCCCAGCACTGGATCCACCCCACACCAGGTCACCCCACACCAGGCACTGGATCACCCCATGCCCAGCACTGGATCAGCAGGCACTGGATCACCCCATACCAGGCACTGGAACACCCCACACCAGGCACTGGATCACCCCATGCTGGGCACTGGATCACCAGGTACTGGATCACCCTGCACCAGGCACTGGGATGATCCCCTCGAGCTCCAGGGTCACAGGGCTGCCCACCCACGGGATGCTTGGCCACCAGGCCACATGGAGGTGTCACCACAAAGCCCGGTGTCACCTCTGTGCCACAGGGCCAGCTCTGCCCCCCTGTGCCAAGCTATAAATACCCAGCTGGGCAGCACAGGACTATATTTGCCTCAGGTTTCCAGGTGAGAGTTCACCAGTGCCCTGGACGGGGACTGTGCCCTGCACGGTGTCACAGTGACCACGCTGCCCTGGCACCGCCACGGGGGGCTGAGCACGGCCCAGGGGCACCACGGGCGGGGATCCCAGGAGGGGTTTGCACCCCCAAATCCGGGAGACGGTGCCTGTGACGGCACGGTGGGCACTCACCCAGCTCCTCCTCCGTCCCGGGAAGGTACCTGCCCACCAGCTGCTCCGGTCTCCCCAGCACTGTGCCCACCCCCGTGACCAGCAGCCGCCCCACGCGGGTGCCCGTCACGGTGCCGAGCGTCCTGGCCACCACCCCGCTCACCAGCTCCCTGGTCCCGGCCACCACCTGCGAGGGCACAGCACAGGGCAGCCTCACCCTTCAGTGGCCCCAGCACCGGACCCCCCTGCAGCCCCTCGGGGGGACGTTACCCTCTCAGGGGGCTGCTGCAGGATGGGCAGCTTCTCCTCCAGCTTGTCCAGCCCTTTGCAGGCCAATTCGTTGGCGCTGGAAACTGGGGACGGGAAAAGAGCTGGGTTAAACCTCCCCCTGCCCTGAGCAGCAGCTCTGCTGGGGGTGGGTTTTGGGGCAACCCAAAACTCGTGGGGTGTTTTCCCTCCCGTCTTCTTGTCCAGCTTCTCCAGCCCTTCGTTCCTTGGTGATATGAACTGGATGTGAGACCAGAGGATTCCTCTCCTACTGCCTTGCAAGAGCCCTTTTTTGGGTACCCCAGAATTCATGGGGTGCTGCTCCCCCCTCCCAGCTTCTCCTCCAGCTTCCGCAGCCCTTTGCAGGCAGATTTGGGGGCAGTGGGAGCCAGAGGTATGAAATCAGATTATTCCTCTCCTGCTGCCTTGCACTAGCTCTGTGAGAACCAGCTCCTGGGGTACCCCAAAACTCAGGGGGTGTTTCCCCTTCATCTTTTCCTCCAGCTTCTCCACCCCTTTATTCCTTGGCCATATAAACCTGATACACAAACCCAGTTCATCCCTCTGCTGCTGCCTCACAAGAGTTTTGTGGAAGTGAGTTTTGGGCTCCCCCAGCCCCTGTGGGGTGTTTTCCACCCCTTTATTCCTTGGTCACATAAATCTGACACACAAACCCAGTTCATCCCTCTGCTGCTGTCTCACAAGAGCTCTGCAAGGGCTGATTTTCCATCACCCCTGAACTCATGGAGTGCTGCCTCCCCCCTCAGCTTCTCCAGCCCTTTCTCCCTTGGCCATATAAACCTGACACACAAACCCAGATCATCCCTCTGTTGCTGCCTCACAGGAGCTCTGTGAGAGCCAGTTTTGGGGGACCCCCCAGCCCCTCTGGGGTGATCTCCAGCCCTTTCTCCCTTGGCCATATAAACCTGACACACAAACTCGGTTCATCCCTCTGCTGCTGCCTCACAGGAGCTCTGCTACAGCCAGTTTTCCATCACCCCAGAACTCAGGGGGTGCTGCATCTCCCTTCAGCTTCTCCAGCCCTTTCTCCCTTGGCCACATAAACCTGACACACAAACCCAGATCATCCCCCTGCTGCTGCCTCATCAGAGCTCTGCCAGGGCGAGTTTTGGGGTCCCCTGACCCCTGTGGGGTGATCTCCACCCCTTTCTCCCTTGGCCATATAAACCTGACACACAAACCCACATCACCCCTCCCCTGCTGCCTCGCAGGAGCTCTGCTACAGCCAGTTTTCCATCACCCCAGAACTCAGGGGGTGCTGCTCCAGCCCTTTCCCCCTCGGCCACACAAAGCTGACACACCAACCCCGATCATCCCCCTGCTGCCGCCTCACCGGAGCTCTGCCAGGGCGACTTTTGGGGCGCTCCCCGTCCCCGTGGGGTGCTGTCCCTCTGCCCCCCCACTCACTCTGTGGCTCCAGCCGGGTGAGGAGGGGCTGGGCCCCGCTCACGGCCGCCGCCGTCAGCGTCTTCACCCCCTTCTCGGCGGCCTGGCAGACGGAGCGGACGCAGGGGTGCCTCTCCTTGGTGCTCGCGTACGCCGCGGCCACGGCCCCGCAGGCACAGCTCACCAGGGCCAGGTTGGCCACGCGGGTCACCACGCTCTGGGGGGGCGGGCTGGCACTGAGGGAGGGTCCCCAGAGGCACCCGCAGCCCCCTCAAAGCCTCCCGTGCCCCCCCGACCTTCACCTCCGGCCCGTCCCGCGCCGGGACCGCGCCGTTTTCGGCCGACATGGCACCGTGGCTGTGGGGAGAGATGTTGGGGTGTCGTGGGTGGGTGAGCACAGTTGGGGGCTGAGACCCCCCCCAGGACCATCCCCCACAGCTCCTGCTGGCTGAGGGCTGAGACCCAGCAGCTCATGACATGAGTGGGAGCTGCTGGCGGCCTCTGAGCAGCTTGTGGAGTGTCACGGGGAGGGGGGCGCTGGACGGAGTTTGGGGGTGGGATTGGCCTCCTGCCCTGCCGGGAAGCCCTGGGATTGGGTCCCCTCAACCCCTCTTGAGTCCCCCCGTCCCCACCTGGGTCCGCCCCTTTTGGGGCCGGGGAGGGTGTGCGGGTGATTCAGCGGAAGCCGAGGAGGGTTTGTCTGTCAGGGAGGGTTTGTCTGTCTGTCGCAATCCCGCGCTGGGGACGTGCCGCCCGTCACCGTCCCCTCGGCCGGGGCAGCCCCGCGGGGAGCGGAACAGCCCCCCCGCCCCCCGGCAGCCCCTCCGCCCTTTGGGGTGTCCCTCTGCCCCCCCCCGCCCCCCGGCAGCCCCTCCGCCCTTTGGGGTGTCCCCCCCCCGGCCCGGCCCCGTGCCCCCCGGGGGGCGAGTTCTGGGGGGTCCCGGGGGGCTGCACGCAGGTCTCTGCGGGGCGCGGGTCCCCGGGGGTGTCCCCTTGAGTTTCCAGGGGTGTCCCCTCGGGCCCCTGGGGGCTATGGGGGTCCCTGGGGTGCTCCGGGGGACCCCGGGACTCTCGACCTCCCCCGGGACGCCCGGACTCCCCCCGGGACTTCCCAGACCCCTCCCGGAGCCCCCCCCGGGCCCCCCCGACCCCTCTCGTCACCCTCCAACTCCCGCCAAGCCCCGGGCTCGGTACTCACGGGGGGTGGGGGTTGGGTTCTGTCGCGACCCCCGGTCGCGATCACGACCCCCGGGCCCCGCCCAGCGCGAGGCACGGTTGGCCAATCAGAGGAGGGGCGGGGCCGCGTCTCCACCAATGAGGAGGGAGGGGCGGGGCGCGGGGCGGGGCCGGGGCTCTGTCCCGACACGTGGGCGCGGGTCGCGATCGTGCCCGGGGGTTCCGGGGACACCGGCGGGGACCCCCCGGCCCGGGGGGCGGACAAGGCCCGGCCAGAGCCCCGGGGGGACACCGGCCACCTTGCCACGTGTCCCCACGCTGAGGGACCCGATGGTTGGTGTACCCACCCTTCCCAGGTGTCCCTCCCCTTTCCAGGTGTCCCCATCCCCAGGAGTCCCCTTGCCATGTGTCCCCACGCCAAGGGACTCAGTGGCCAGTGTTGCCCCCCCCTCCAGGTGTCCCCCCTCCCTTGCCACGTGTCCCCACACCAAGAGACCCAATGGCCGGTGTCCCCACCCTCTCCAGGTGTCCTCACCCTCTCCAGGTGTCCCCACCCTCTCCAGGTGTCCCCACCCCCGGTGTCCCCACACCAAGAGACCCCAGGGCTGGTGTCCCCACCCCAAATGTCCCCATTCCAAAGGACCCAATGGCCAGTGTTCCCACCTCAGCTGTCCCCACCCCAGGTGTGTCCCCCCTCCCCCTTGGTGTCTCCACCTCAAATGTCCTCCCCCCAGGGGTCCCCCCATGCCAGATGTCCCCAATGCCACCCCAGGGGACCCAAAGACTGGTGTCCCCACCCCAAGGGGCCCAAGGCCAGGTGTCCCCATGCCAAACATCTCCCTACCAAATGTCCCCAGGCCAGGTGTCCCCAAGCAAAGTGACCTAAAGACAGGTGTCCCTTGCCCATCACCACCCCGGGCACCCAAGGGACCCCATGGCCGGTGTCCCCACCCCAGGTGTCCCCACCCCAAATATCTCAATGCCAAGTGTCCGGTGACATCTGTCCCTTCACCACATGTCCCCACCCCACATGTCCCGTGCCACCAAAGCCCCTCTGGGTGCCAGGTGTCCCCCAGACCCTGCGGGTGCTCTGGCCAGGGGACCTCAGTGCCCGGGGGGGGATGGCAGGGGGCGGTGGGTGACCCCCCCGTGGGGCACAGGATGGTCGGGAAAGGGACAGACGGGTGACACGGGTGGGAACACGGTGCTGGCACTGCCTTATCCCTGGGGAATTCGCCGGGAAAGTGGGATGGGGACCCTTGTGGGGCAGGAAGAGGGGATGGGAGCACGGGGAGCCCTGTGCCCTCCCCCCCAGCCGATCCCGGGTCCCGGGGGATGGGATGTAAAAAGTGGCCAAGGCGGCGGGGGGGAGTCGCCTCCCGTAACCGGGTGTTTATTGGGGCCGCGGGTACAGCCCGCGGGCGGCCGCATGCATGGCCGCGGGGGGGGGGGAGGCTCCCGCCGCCCCCCGCCCCTATTTACAGCCTGCCACCCCCTGGGGACCTGCCACCCCCCCCGGGGACCTGCCACCCCCCCCGCGACCCGCCACCCCGCGTGGGTGCCAGGCGGGGGTGGCACCGAAAGGGCACCCTTTGCCAGCAGAGAGTGGGTTCGGTGGGGACCCCCCCCCCCAGCCCCAGCGGTGCCCCCCCAGCCCGGCTGTGCTTTCCAGGAGGGGGTGCTGCGGGAGGGGTGGAAAAGCACCCCCCAAGCTGGCACCGAGCAGGGGTTGACCCCGGACTGGGGGCTGAGCGCACCCCATCCCCAGATAACACACACGCTTGGGGGGCCCCCACCCCCCCCCGCACCCCAAATGTTCACCACGTTCCATCACCACAACCAACGCACCCCGGTGGCCCCCCCGGGCCAGGTATCCCCTGGAGAGGGGGGGGTGGCAGCACCCAGAAGCCCCTCAGGGTGCCCCCGACGGGCGAGGGGCTGGGGGGCACCGCGCAGTGCCCGTGTCCGTGCGTCCATCCTGCTGCCCCCCAGGGATCCCCCTCCCAGGGTGCTGCGGGCCCTGAGTCCAGCCTGGGGAGGGGACACGATGGACGGACCCCCCTCCCCTCCCCCGGCATACGGGGCCAAGCAGCCGGAGCGCAGGGCACCGCCCCACGGCACCGGGGGACACCCCCAAACCCTCTCCGGGGGCACCCGGGGGGCGCCTGTCCCGCCCCTCACCCCACGCCCGCAGCTCCTGCCCGGCCACCCCCTCCCTGCCCCCAGGGAGCCGGGGGGGGCCCCCCATCAGTGTCCTGGCGAGGGGGACGCACGCAGGGTGGGCACCCTATTTCCCCGAGGGAGTCCGCTCCACGCCGTAGCGCAGGAGGTGGTGCAGGTCCGTCAGCGCCCGCGGGGTGCCCGGTGCCCGCGGGGCCCGCGGGGCCGTCCCCCCGTGCCGCCCGTAGCCGCCCGCCGCGGCCTCGCCGCTGTTGAACGTGTGGTTCCTCTTGAGGTGGGCGCCCGCGGGGCGGCCCGTGCCGTTGTTGGCGTTGAAGTTCAGCTGCTCGGGGTGCCAGGACGGCCCCTCGGCAAAGTCCCCCCCGTCCCCGCTGGGCGCCGAGACCACCCGCCGGCGCTCGGGGCTGGGGCGCGGCGTGCTGCCGAAATCGCCGTAGGAGCTGCGGGGCGGGCGCCGGGCGCCGGCGGCGGCGGGGTGGGGGTGCTGCCGGGCGCGGGGACCCTCCTGGGGGTCCCGACCCCAGTGCCCGTCACCTGAGGAGTCGCTGAGTTCGGCCTCCAGCTCCTGGTCCACCAGGATGGCGTGGCAGGAGAGGGGGATGCCCCGCTGCGCTCGGCCCGAGCCGCCGTGCCCGCGCCCGGCGCCGGCCGTGCCGGAGCCGCCCCCAGGGTCCCGCAAAGCCGCGTTGATGATGTTGTGGCTCTGCTCCCAGCTGCAGTTCTGGAGGGCGCCGGGGCAGCGCTTCTGCTGCAGCGGGGTCTGCTCCGGCGTGGGCAGCACCCCCGAGTCCAGGTCGTGCTGGGCCACCTTGCCCAGCTCCTTGGGCCACCCGTTGGGCATCAGCGGGGCCAGCAGGGCGCCGCGCGCCCGCCGCTCGCCCAGCCGGCTGACGCTCACCACCGACTCGCTGTGCGCCAGGATCGTCTCCTTGTCCTTGCGCCGCGCCAGCTCCTTGCGGTCGCGGTGCCCGATGAACCAGCACACGCTGAAGCCGGAGATCACGGCGCCGATCACGAAGGCGGCCACCGACGAGATCACCAGCAGGTTCACCGACACCAGCCCGTCCGGCTCGTCCACGAAGCTCTCGGTCACCAGCCCTGCGCGGCGGGGACGCGTCAGGGGACCCGCGGGGGCCGTGTCCCCGGGTCCCCTCCCGGCCCCGCACTCACCCTCGCACTCGCCCAGGTGGGACGTGCTGCCGCCGGCGATGTCCTGCTCGAAGGACGCCCTGGGGGTGTAAATAAGGGGGGGGTCAGAGGGTCCCAAATGGCCTGGGAGAGTCTCCCAGGTCCCTTCGGTGAGCTGTGAGTCTGTGGGGGCTCAGTGGTTGGGGGTTTCGAGAGCTGAGGCTCTCTGGGGACCCCACTGTCACCCCTCCGTGTCCCCCAGGCCTGGCTGCATTACCTGGGACTGGGCTCCAGGAAGACACAGGAGCCCTCCGATGTCCAGCCACAGTAGGGATCCCGGCTCCCGAGGCAGTTCCTGGCAGGGAGCAGAGACACTGGGATCAGCCCTGATGGGGGGGACACAACACCCCAGCCCCCCCAAGGGATCCCACACTGTGCTGTGCCTCGGTGTCCCCAGCCGTGCTCCCAGCCGTGCCGAGCCCATCCCAGCCAGATCCCGGCACGGGGTGAATTCCTGGGAGATGTGAAGGTGACCTGAACCCCCCCTGCCCCCTGCCCACCCCCCAGCCAGCCCTGCCCGCCCCGGGCACACTCACTTCATGCAGCCCGAGTGCTGCTGGCAGCGAGCCACGGGCACCCTGGCCACGCACGGGGGGAAAGCCAGGAGCAGGGACCCCGCTGCCTTGTCCAGCTCCAGCCCCAGGAGCCGCCGCTCGTCCTCCGTGTCCCGGCCACACCTGGGGACAGGGCAGAGCTCAGCGTGGTCCGTGGGGCCCACCATGGAGCTGGGCCCAGCTTAGGCTGGTCCACAGGAGGTTGTGTCACCCATTCCCCCACCCTGTTCCTTCCCCTGCTCTTGCATCCATCTGACCCATTGTCTCCATCCATCCATCCATCCCTCCATTCATCCATCCCTCCATTCATCCCTCCATCCATCCCTCCATTCATCCATCCCTCCATTCATCCATCCCTCCATCCATCCATCCATCCATCCATCCATCCCCAAACACATCATTCCCCCTCCCAGTCACCTTGCAACTGTCAATCAATCCCTCCCTAAACATCACACCCACCCACCCACCCATCCATCCATCCAAACACCCCCATCCATTCACTGCTCACTCACCCGCCCATCCAATGACTCCATCATCCATCCACCCATCCATCCATCCATCCATCCATCCATCCATCCATCCAACTACTCAACCAACCATCCACCCACCCATCTGACCATCCAGAGGAACATCCATCCACTCATCCACCCATCCATCCCTCCACCCATCCATCCATCCATCCATCCATCCATCCATCCACTTGTCTGTCCATGCCTCCCTCCACCCCTCCATCCATCCATCCATCCATCCATCCATCCACCCATCCACTCATCCATCCCTCCACCCATCCCTCCATCCCTCCCTCCCTCCCTCCCCCCCCTCACCACTCTGACCATCCCCCCCCAGCCTCCCAGCTCCCTGCCCCCCCTCCCAGCTCCCACCTCCCGGGCTGGTAGGTCTCAAACTCCTCCAGGAAGACGCTCTGGCTGCCGGGGGCGGTGGCCGTGGTGGCGCTGGTGGCGTTGGGCAGGATGAGGAACTTGAGGACGGTGCCGGTGCTGGAGCCCAGGAACACCACGGTTTGGTTGCCCCACGGCCCCGCCGCCGTGTCCACCACGATCCTGCGGAGCTGGTACCTGTGGGGTGGGGACAGGGCGGGTCTGGGGGTGGGTGGGAGTGGGAGTGTCCCCAGGGAGGGGGGCTGGGACCCTCCCCGATGAGGGACAGGGTGTGGTTGTCCCAGAGTGGGGAGTCCCCAGGGGGTGTGAGGGGTTGTGCGGATCCCAGATGGAAACGAGCCCAGGTCCTGGCCAGGACCCAGCCAGACCCATCCCAGATCCTACTCGGGATCCTGCCCACATCCTGCCTGGATATAGCCCGGATTCCACCCAGATCCCGGCTGGCATCCAGCTCAGATCCCACTAAGGAACCAGTCCAGATCCTCCTCAATCACTCAGTAGGATCCCAGCTGGTCCCCAGCCCCCATTCCAGCCCCACATCCCTGTTCCAACCTTGTGTCCCCATCCCTATATTCCCATTCCCATCCCTGTATCCCCATCCCCATTCCCATCCCATGTCCTCATCCCCATCCCACATTCCAAACCCCATTCTCATTCCTGTATCCCCATCCCCATCCCATGTCTCCATCCTCGTTCCCATCCTTGTATCCCTGTTCCCATCCCATGTTCCCATCCTCGTTCCCATCCTTGTATCCTTGTTCCCATCCCTTGTCCCCATTCCCACCCCATGTTCCCATCTCTGTATCCCTGTCCCCATCCAGTGTTCTCATTCCCATTCCCATCTCATGCCCCCATTCCCATCTCATGCCCCCATCCCCATCTCATGCCCCCATCCCCATTCCCATCCCAGGTCCCCATCCCCATTCCCATCCCTGTATCCCCATCCCTATTCCTACCCCTGTATCTCCATCCCTATTCCCATCCCTGTATCCCTATCCCCATCCCACATCCCCATCCCCACTCCCGTATCCCCGTTCCCACCCTGTGTCCCCATCCCCACCCCGTGTCCCCATTCCCACTCCCATTCCCATTCCCTGTCCCTATTCCCGCTCTCCCCCGCCTGCCCTGCCGGCGGGAGCCGCGGCCCGAGAGCGCCGCTTGATTAATTCCCCATCAAGCAGCAATTAAGGCAGATTTAATTAGGACGAGACAATCTCGGCTGCAAAGTGCAGGAGATTTATCAGCTCTGCCGGTGCTCCCGGCGCTGGTACACGCGGGCCGGGGCAGCGAGGGAGGCTCCGGGCCAGCATTCCCAGTCCCCCCTCGGGGCTTCCCCAGTGCCCCCAGCATTCCCAGTCCCCCCTCGGGGCTTCCCCAGCGCTCCCAGCATTCCCAGTTTCCCCCCGGGCACCCACCGGCTCATGGTGCGGAGGATCCAGGGCGCGTTCCCCAGGGCCGGCACCGCCTCGTCCATCAGCGGGTGTGTCTTGACGAAGTTGAGGATCTCGTCGGGGAAGGCGCTGGAGGAGTTGTAGCGCATCCCCGGGGCCGCGCAGCACCCCGGCCTGCGGGCGGGGCACGGCTCAGGGGCGGTGACACGGCTCAGGGACAGTGACACGGCTCAGGGGCGGTGACACGGCTCGGGGACGGTGGCACAGCACAGTGACAGCGGCCACAGAGCCGGACTGGCCTGTCCCCAGCCTGTCCCAAACCCGCCTGGTACTGGCCATGGTTATCACCATCCCTGTCCCCATTCCAGGGAGTACTGCTCCTGACTGTCACCATCCCTGTCCTCATCCCTGTCCCCATTCCAGGGAGTACTGCTCCTGACTGTCACCATCCCTGTCCTCATCCCTGTCCCCCATTCTAGGGGGTATTGGTGTCACCATCCCTGTTCCCATCCCTGTCCCCATTCCAGGGAGTACTGCTCCTGGCTGTCACCATCCCTGTCCTCATCCCTGTCCCCCATTCTAGGGGGTATTGGTGTCACCAACCCTGTTCCCATCCCTGTCCCCATTCCAGGGAGTACTGCTCCTGGCTGTCACCATCCCTGTCCTCATCCCTGTCCCCCATTCCAGGGGGTACTGGTGTCACCATCCCTGTCTCCATCCCTGTCCCCATTCCAGCTGGTTCTGGCTGTCCCCATCCCTGTCCCCATTCCAGGGAGTACTGCTCCTGGCTGTCACCATCCTTGTCTTCATCCCTGTCCCCCATTCTAGGGGGTACTGGTGTCACCATCCCTGTCCTCAGCCCTGTCCCCATTCCAGCTGTTACTGGCCATGGCTTTCACTGTTCCTGTCCCCAGCCCTCCTGGTACTGTCCATGGCTGTCACCATCCCTGTCCCTATCCCTGTCCCCATTCCAGGGGGTCCTGGTGTCACCAACCCTGTCCCCCTTCCAGCTGGTGCTGGTCCTGGCTGTCACCATCCCTGCCACTGTCCCCTTCCCTATGTCCACTCCCATCGCTCTCCCTGCAGGTACCACCCCCGGCTGTCCTTGTCCCCATCATCATTCCCATCGTCATCCATGTCCCTGTCCCCATCCCCACCACCCTCCCTGCAGGTGTCCAGCCCGGATTCCACCCAGATCCCAACTGGGATCCAGCTCAGATCCTACAAAGGAACCAGCCCAGATCACCCCCGATCACTTGGCAGGATCATTTCTGCCCCATCCCTCTCCCCATCCACAGCCCTGTCCCCACCCCTGTCCCCATCCCTGTCCCTGTCCCCATCCCTGTCCCTGTCCACAGCCCTGTCCCCATCCCTGGCCCTGTCCCCATCCCTGGCCCCATCTCCATCCATGATCACAGCGATCCCATCACTCCCGTTGCTTCCCTTTCTCCCTGCGGGTCCCAGCCCTGGCCCCAAGCCCTCTGTCCCCCCTGCTTGTCCCCGTCCCCATCCCTGTCCCTGTCCACACCCCTGTCCCCATCCCTGTCCCCATCCCCATCCCTGTCCCCATCCCTGTCCCCATCCCTGTCCCCATCCCCATCCCTGTCCCCATCCCTGTCCCCATCCCTGTCCTCATCCCCATCCCTGTCACCGTCCCCATCCTGTCCCCATCCCATCCCTGTCACCATCCCCATCCCTTCACCGTCCCATCCCTGTCCCCATCCCCATCCTGTCCCCGTCCCATCCCTGTCCCATCCCCTGTCCTCATCCCCATACCTGTCCCCCGTCCCCATCCCTGTCACCATCCCCACCCTGTCCCCGTCCCCATCCCTGTTCCTGTCCCCATCCCTGTCCCCATCCCTGTCCCCATCCCTGTCCCCATCCCCATCCCCGATCACAGCAATCCCATCACTCCCGTTGCTTCCATTTCTCCCCGCAGGCCCCAGCCCTGGCTGTCCCTGTCCCCAACCCCTCCGTCCCTTCCTGCCTGTCCCCATCCCCGTCCCCTCACCGTGGCTTTGGCACCATGTCCTCGGGCACGGGCGTCCAGATGGACTCGGGCGACTTCTGCTCGCGGAACCGCCCCTCGAACACCGCGGCCACCTGGGCCATGTCGAAGGCGCAGACGGCCGAGCCGGGAATGCTGCGGGGACACGGGATGAGCATCCCAACCCCTCCCGCTTCCCCCACGCCCCCCAAGTCTCCCAGGAACCCCCGGGGGTCTCCGTGGGGGCACCGGAGCCTCCGACCTGTTGGCGGGCGTGGAGAAGACGGCGAGAACCACGGGGCGCCCGTCCAGCTCCAGGATGTCCGTCACGGCCTGGATGACGTTGAAGTAGAAGTGGGAGTCGCCCGGCACAGAGCAGTTGAGCCGAGCCTTGAGGAAGGAGGTCCACTGCTTCTCCAGCACCCGCTGGGAGCCCCCCATGTCGTTCTTGCACACCCGGGCCACCCGCGACACCACCACCTGCGGGGCGGGCACCCATCATCACCCCGTCCCTGTCACCACCACGGGCGGGATCACAGCGTGGTTCAGGTCGGAAGGGACCTTGAAGACCACCCATTCCAGGTGGGATGTGTGTCCCACCTTCTCCAGGTAGTTGAACTCCATGGCGATCTCCCGGAAGAAGAAGTAGACGTGGCTCCTCCACTCCACGGCGTGCACGAAGTAGGGCTCTGCGGGCACGGAGGGATCGTTGGATCCCAAATGTTAGACATGAGAAAAGAAAACCCGCTAGGTTTAGACAGAAAACCTCGAGTCACAGAAGCTGGGGCAAAAAAACCCCTTTTTTAGTAACTTCATCGCTGTGGGTTCTTCCTGCACAATGGAAGAGACTCCTTGCATGATGTTATCACCATACCCTGATTGGATCGACCCCTGCAGAAGACCCATCGTGTTTTATCTCTCCTTTTGTGTTTACCTGTCCCCCCTGTAAAATCCCCCAAGTTAGGGTGGGTTTCTCCCATGAGGTAATTCCTGAGACCCCCAAGATTTGTCACACCTGGTTTTTCCCTTCCCTCGTCTCTGGAAAGCCCCCCAGTTGTAATAGAAGGAATATGCAAGCCCCCCCTTGAATATGTAAACCACGAACCCTTTAAATACCCTTTAAATACCCTTTAAATACCCTTTAAAAAGTTGTGGACACAATAAAGGATTCCAGTTTTGAATATGTAAACCGGGAACCCTTTAAATACCCTTTAAATACCCTTTAAGTACCCTTTAAGTACCCTTTAAAAAGTTGTGACCCCAATAAAGGATTCCGGTTTTCTACCTCCCCTGGGATCGAGATGGCTTATTGACCTTCTCGAGCGGGGTCAGGGCGGGGGGGACAGGGGGCCCGTGTCCCCCCCGGGGTGGGGGACACCCACCTTTGAACCACTTGGAGTCGTGTTTGACGGTGCGCAGGGTGGGGCTGTCCCCGAGGCTGCGGTAGATGACGGCGTCGATGGCCAGGAAATCCGTCACGGTGGCCGTGAAGAGCATCCCCCCTGCGCGGGAGGGGGGTCAGCGGGGCCGGGGGGGGGGGACACACCGAGCCCGCGGTGACACCCCCGGGGCCACCACCGACCTGTGAACAGGGCCACGTTGGCGTGTTTGGGGTCGTAGGGACACCGGGCCATGCCGCTGATGTTGTCCCCGACGGGCTCCAGCGTGTCCATCTGCGGGGGGGGGGACACGGGACGGACGTGAGGACACGCCCGGGCACGGGGGTGACCCCCGGGGGCCCGTCCCAGCAGGGAGGTGGCACAGATGGGGTTGAAGGTGTTGGTGCCGCAGCCTCTTCCCGTGGGTGCCCCCCTCCTGCCCTCACCCCAAAGCACCCCAAACCCCCTCTACCGTGGCTGTCCCCCTCTGGCCTTCACCCCAAAACCCCTCTGCCTTGGGTGTCCCCTCATTCCTAATCCCAAAATTATCCCAAACCCCCTCTGCCATGGGTGCTCCTTTTTCCTTAACCCCAAAGCACCCCAAATTAAACCCCTCCCTGTGAGTGCCTCCCTTCTGTCTTCACCCCAAAATCCCCTTCCCATCTGTGTCCTCTTCATGTCTTCACCCCAAAACCACCCTTCCCATGTGTGTCCCCCTCCTGCCTTCAGCCCAAAAACCCCCTTCCCGTGGCTGCCCCCTCTCCTTGCCCCTCCCAGGCCCCCTGGCAGGGGATGCCCGTTCCCGGGGGGTGCCCATCCTGAGGGGTGCCCATCCCAGGGGATGCCTGTTCCAGGGGGGTTCCCGTTCCCGGGGGATGCCCATTCCCGAAGGGTGCCCATCCCGAGGGGGTGCCCATCCCGGGGGGTGCCCCTCCTGGGGAGTGTCCGTTCCTGAGGAATGCCCATTCCCAAAGGGTGCCCATCCCGGGGGGTGCCCCTCCTGGGAGGTGCCCGTTCCTGAGGAATGCCCATTCCCGAGGGGTGCCTGTCCCGGGGGGTGCCCATCCCGGGGGATGCCCATTCCCGAGGGGTGCCCGTTCCCAGGAGATGCCCATTCCCAGGGGATGCCCATCCCAGGGGATGCCCATCCCGGTGGGTGCCCATCCCGGTGGATGCCCGTTCCCGGGGGATGCCCATCCCGGTGGGTGCCCGTTCCCGGGGGCGCTCACGCTGTAGTTGGCGCAGACGGGGTTGAAGGCGTTGGTGCCGCACACGAACAGGAGGCTCTCGTTCCTCACCAGCAGCACCTTCACGAAGTTCCGACACTCTGCCTGCGCCGGGGGAGGGGGGATCGTTACCCCTCGGACCCCCCCCCGAACCCCCCAAACCCGCTCAGACCCCCCCGGCCGCGAGGGGAGGGTTTGGGGAAGGGAAGGGGAGGGAAGGGAAGGGGAAGGGGGGGATGTTCTCATCATTTCTGGCTGCCGAGAACGGGCTTTGCGGCCCCGAAGAATTAATTACCGACCTAATTAAGCGGCCGATAAATCAGAGGCTGACGGGCTGGCGGAGGAGTGGGGAGGGGACAGCGGGGAGGGGACGGGGCGGCCTCGTCTGTGTGACGGGGGGGGGCACAGAGGGGGCTCAGACCCCCCCAGGAGGGTCGCAGCCCCCCCACCCCCGTACCTCGTGCTTCCCCTTCATCCGGCAGATGCTGATGTCGTGCTGGTTCGAGCGCCACGTCAGCTTCTGGGGGGGTGGGAAACCAGCGTGGAGGAGCCGGCGGCACCCCCCGGCACCCCCTTGGCACCCCCCGAGACCCCCCCGAACCCCCCGAGACCCCCCCCGGCACTCACCCGGTGGTAGCGCAGCTCCCCCGCCCCGCTGGGCTCCAGGCTCACCCGGTACACGTTGTCCCTGGGGAGGGGGACACCGGTGTCACCACCCCCCCGTTGGGATGTGCCCCCCCCAGGGAGGGGGTGTAGGATCCCCCCCGGGAAGGTTTTGGGGTGCTGGGGTGGGCTCTGAGCACCCCCGGGGTAAGGGTAGCCCCTCTGGAGCTCCCCAACATCCCAAGGTTGATTTTGGGGTGCCCCAGGGCAGGTGACACAGCCAAGAGGGTTTGGGGTGCCCACCCCCGTGCAGGGGAGGTTTTGGGGTGCTGGAATGGGCTCCTTGGGTAAGGACAGCCCCTCTGGAACCCCACAGACACCCCATGGTAAGTTTTGGGGTGCTGGGGTGGTCAATGAGCACCCCCGGGGTAAGGACAGCCCCTCTGGAACCCCCCAAACACCCCATGACAGATTTTGGGATGCCCCGGGGCAGGTAGTGGGGTGTTCTTCAGTAGAGAGGGCGTGGGGTGCCCATGCCCACGCAGGGGAGGTTTTGGGGTGCTGGGGTGGGCTCTGAGCGCCCTCAGGGTAAAGGCAGCCCCTCTGGAGCCCCCCAAACACCCCAAGGTTGATTTTGGGGTGCCCCAGGGCAGGTGACACAGCAAAGAGGGTTTTGAGTGCCCAACCCCGTGCAGGGGAGGTTTTGGGGTGCTGAGCACTCCCAGGGTAAGGAGCCCCACAAACACCCCATGGTAGGTTTTAGGGTGCCCTGGGGCAGGTAGTGGGGTCTTCCCCAGCCAAGAGGGTTGGGGGTGCCCCCCGCCATGCAGGGGAGGTTTTGGGGGGCTGGTTCTCACCTGTCCCCGATGAAGAGGGTCCTGTTGACCTTGAGGATGCGCTGGATGTTGAGGCGCTGGGGGATCCCCCCCTCGGGCCCCCCCGGGCGGCTGCTGCCGTGCCCCACGAACACGGGGTAGTGTTTGACATCTGGGGGGGCACAAGGGGGGGTCACACGGGGCCCAGGGCACCCCCACACAGCCCAGGAGACCCGCGGGGGCACCTCCCTCCCACCCTCACCCCAAAACCCCTGTCCCTGGGCGCCCCTCTCCTGCCTTCACCCCAAAAATGCCCTCCATCGGTTCCCCGTCCTGTTTCACCCCAAAGTATCCCCAAACTCCTTCCATGGGTTCCCCCCCCTCCTGCCTTCACCCCAAAGTACCCCAAAGCACCCCAAAACCCCCTCCTATGGGTGTGCCTCTCCTACTTTCACCCCAAAACACCCCAAAGCACCACAAACCCTCCTCCCATGGGTGTCCCCCTCCTGCCTTCACCCCAAAACCCCCTCCCATGGATTACCCCTTCACCCCAAAACACCTCAAAGCACCACAAACCCTCCTCCCATGGGTGTCCCCCTCCTGCCTTCACCCCAAAACCCCCTCCCATGGATTACCCCTTCACTCCAAAACACCTCAAAGCACCACAAACCCTCCTCCCATGGGTGTCCCTCTCCCGCCTTCACCCCAAAACACCCCAAAGCACCCTAAAATTCCCTCCCATGGCTGCCCCCTCCTGCTTTCACCCCAGAACCCTCTCATGTGGATTACCCCTTCACCCCAAACCACCCTAAAGCCCTCTCCCATGGGTGTCCCCCTCCTGCCTTCATCCCAAAACCCCTTCCCATGGTTTGCCCCTTCACCTCAAAACACCCTAAAACCCCCTCCCCCAGGTGTCCACCCTCCTGCCTTCACCCCAAAGCATCCCCAAACCCCCTCAGGGGGTTCCCCCTCCTCCCTTCGCCCCAGACCACCCCAAACCCCTTCCCCTCCCCGTGCCAAGCCGTGCCCCCCTCGCCCCGGGTGGGCACTCACAGTCCGGGGGGGCCACGGAGATGGGCCCGGGCTCCTCGGGGAAGGTGGCCCACGCCGTCCTCTCGGCCACCACCAGCAGCAGGAGCAGGACCAGGAGCAGGGGGACACGGGCTGGTGGCCCCATGGTGGCCCCCGCCCCGGGTGGGACCTGCGGGCACGGGCAGGGCTGGGAGGGGCGGCTCCCACCCGGATCCCGGGGGTCCTCCCCCACCCCAGAGACCCCAAACCCACCCCCGGGGCTGGGGGCTGAGGGGGGACCGCGGGGCACGTGTCCCTTCCCAGGGGAAATTCCAAACGCGCCGGGAAAAGCAGGAAAAGCGGCTTCCAGCCCCCACCCCCCCCTCCTCCGAGCCCTCCCGGTGCCCGCCCGGCTCCGCGCTGGGGACACTGGGACCAGACTGGGGACACTGGGACCGGACTGGGGACACTGGGGACACTGGGAGCAGACTGGGGGACACTGGGACCAAACTGGGGACACTGGGACAGGAATGGGGACACTGGGACCAGACTGGGGGACACTGGGACCAAACTGGGGACACTGGGACAGGAATGGGGACACTGGGACCAGACTGGGGACACTGGGACCGGACTGGGGACACTGGGACAGGAATGGGGACACTGGGGGCACTGGGGACACTGGGGGCACTGGGGACACTGGGACAGGACTGGGGGCACTGGGGACACTGGGGGCACTGGGGGCACTGGGGACACTGGGACAGGACTGGGGGCACTGGGGACACTGGGACACTGGGGGCACTGGGGGCACTGGGGGCACTGGGGGCACTGGGGACACTGGGACAGGACTGGGGGCACTGGGGACACTGGGACACTGGGGACACTGGGGACACTGGGACAGGACTGGGGACACTGGGGACACTGGGGACACTGGGACCGGACTGGGGCCTTACTGGTGGCTTCTCACCGGCAGTGCTGGTGTGATGGCAGGGCTGGGGACGTGGGGACGTGGGGATATGGGATGTGGGGATGTGGGGATGTGGGGATGTGGGGACATGGGGACAGGGAGACATGGGGATATGGGGACAGACACAGGGACATGGGGGTGAGGACACACGGACATGGGGACACACGGACATGGGGACAGGGAGACAGGGGATATGGAGACACAGGGACATGGGGATGAGGACACAGGGATAGGGGGACACAGGGACATGGGGACAGGGAGACAGGGAATATGGAGACACAGGGACATGGGGATGAGGACACAGGGATAGGGGGACACAGGGACATGGGGACAGGGAGACAGGGGATATGGAGACACAGGGACATGGGGGTGAGGACACAGGGACATGGGGACAGGGAGACAGGGGATATGGAGACACAGGGACATGGGGGTGAGGACACAGGGATAGGGGGATATGGGGACACAGGGACATGAGGACATGCAGATATGGAGCCATGGGGACATGGGGACACAGGGACATGGGGACACAAGGACAGGGAGACATGGGGATATGGGGACACAGGGACATGGGGATGAGGACACAGGGACAGGGGGACACAGGGACGGGGTACATGGGGATATAGGGACACAGGGACATGGAAACATGAGGACATGGGGACACAGGGACATGGGGACACAGGGACATGAGGACAGACAGATGTGGAGATGTGGGGACACAGGGATGTGGGGACATGGGGACACAGGGATGTGGGGACACGGGGACATGGAAACATGAGGACATGTGGACACAGGGACATGGGAACATGAATACATGGGGACATGGGGACATGAGTACATGGGGACATGGGGACATGAGTACATGGGGACACGGAGACATGAGGACATGAGGATGAGGACACAGGGACATGAGGACATGAGGATATGGAGACACGGGGACATGGGGACATGGGGACACGAGACAGGGGACACAGGGACATGGGGACAACAGGGACAGGGGAACACAGGGATGTGGGGACAAGAGGGAAGCCAGAGAGACTTTTCCCCACCCAAAATGCCACCGGGATGGCCTGGAAAATCCTCCGGGACACATCGGAGCACCACGTGCCACAACAACCCCCTCCCGGCCAGCCCCAGTGCCACCACCCCCCTCCGTGCTGGGCCACCGTCCCCACCCTGTCACCGGCCCCGGGGGCTGCGGCCGGGCTGGGTAATTAGCAGCCGGGCAGGGAATTAATTGATCATTAATTCCACGGGCACGGGAAGGATCGAAGCGGCGCCCTCCTGGTGCCACATCCCCCGCGGGGACCGGGGACGGTGACATTGGGTGGGGCTGGGGGACACGGAGCCTGGGAGGCGGGACACTCATCCCCAGCCCCTCTGTGGTGTCACCAGCTCCAGGTAAGACCTGGCACTGCCCCCCTCCAGGTGCCCTCTGAGGTGCCACAGCCCCTGGGGACATCGGATGCCACCCCTGCTGTGTCACAGCCCCTGGGGAGGATGTGCCCCCAGGGGGACCTGGCCCTAATGTCACAGCCCTAGGGGACAACTGATCCCATCCCCAGAGTGTCACAGCCCTTGGGGACAACCGATCCCATCCCCAGAGTGTCACAGCCCTTGGGGACAACTGATCCCATCCCCACATTGTCACAGCCCTCAGGGACAACTGATCCCAACTCCACATTGTCACAGCCCCTGGGGACAATTGGTCCCATCCCCAGGGTGTCACAGCCCCTGGGGACAACTGATCCCAACTCCACATTGTCACAGCCCTTGGGGACAACTGATCCCAGCCCCACATTGTCACAGCCCCTGGGGACAATTGGTCCCATCCCCACATTGTCACGGTCCCTGGGGACAATTGGTCCCATTCCCACCTTGTCACAGCCCTCAGGGACAACTGATCCCATCCCCACCTTGTCACAGCCACAGAAACCCCCAACCCTGTCCCCACAATCTCAGGGACACCAACCCTGTCCCCACAAGTGTCACAGCCCCTGGGGACAACCGACCCCATCTCCGGGGTGTCACAGCCCCTGGGACACCCAACCCTGTCCGCAGGATGTCACAGCCACAGGGGACATCCAACTTTGTCCCCACGGTGTCCCCAAGAAGCAGGAAACGAGCCGTTTGTCACCCCCGAAAGCCACCAAATTTAACGTCCCCAAGCGCCAGAGGGGGGGAGGGAAGGGGGGACCCCAAAAAAGCCACCCGAGGGAAGGGCAGTGCCCGTCAGCCCCCCGGGAATTCGGGTGGGATTTGGGGAGGGGGCAGGGCGGGGGTCGCGCCGCTGCCTCGGGCGCCCGTAACCCCGAGCGGGGGGTCCGGTGTCACCGTCCCCCGGCCCGCGCGGTGACAGCGAGCGGGCACAGGGTAACCGGAGCCTCCGGCGCCATAAATGCCCGCGATTGTGCGGGAAAAGAAAAGGCAGCGGGAAGAGGGGGGCGCAGGGAGGAGCGGGACACGGCGGGGAGGGGGGCGGCCAGCAGGGAGGGGGGGGTGACAAACGGGGAGGGGGGTGACGAACAAGGAGCCATTCACGGCGGCGGCGGAGGACAGGGGACGGTCACACCGTGCGCGTCCCCAGAGCGGCTCTGCGGACGCTGAGGCGGCGGGAGGGGACAGGGGGATGTGTGGGGATGGAGGGGGGGTCTCCAGCCTGGATATCTCCGGCAGCGAGCAGCTGAACAGCCTTGGGAGTGTCCCCTGTCCCCGCTCCGTGCCTGTCCCCCCATCCCACAGCACGCTCGGCCACACAAACCTTAGCGGGGGGGGCTCGGGGGGGCTGCTTGACCTGTCCCACCCTCCCCCAGCATCCCCGCGACCCCCAACACGGGGGTGACGGGGCAGGAAGGGGGAGCAGCCCCCCAGTTCCCCCCCCCTCATGCTGCAACTCTCTGACCCCACAGAGGGGGGGTCTGTCTGATGAGGGGGGGGGGTCACGCTGCTCCCTTTCCCTCCCCTGTGGCCTCTCTCCCCCCCCCCCTCCCCTCACCCCCTCTGTGCCCACCTGAGCTCCTCCGGCCGCCTCCGCTGCCCCTACGGCACGGCCACCACTGTCCCCTCGGCTCGCAGGGGGGGTCCCGCGTGCCCGGCTCCCATAGCTGGGGGTGGGTCTCCCCCCTCCAGGGGTGGGTCCCCCCCAGACTCCGGGACGCCCCGACGGCGCTGGGGGCTCCGGTTCAGCTGTCACGTCACCCCCCCACCCCCCCCGCGACCCCCAGGGGAGGGGGGTCTGCGCCCCCCGCCCGCGCCAGGTGGGAAGGTAGGGCTGATGTCACCGTAACCGGAGCCACCGCCACCCCCCCCTCGCCACCCCCCGGCAGCTGTCACCGCAGCCGGGGACCCGGGGGGGGCACCCGCGGGACCCCCCGAGCGGCACCGCGGCGTCCCCACGGAAACGGCGGGCACGAACCCACCCGGTGAGACCCCCCCCGACCCACGGTGGGGACAGAGGGACAGCGGTGTCCCCTCATCCCCCCCGGGGCTCCCCCATCCTCATAAATCCAAAGGGAAAGGGGGGGGGTGTGCATCGGGAAGGGGGGGGAACACCAGGAAAGGGGGGAACACGCTGGAGAATGGGGGAGACACTGGGAAGGGGGATACTGGGAAAGGAGACACGTTGGGGAATGGAGGGGACACTGGAAAGGGGGATACTGGGAAGGGGGACACACGCTGGGGAATGGGGGGATACTGGGAAGGGCGGATACTGGGAAAGGGGACAAGCTGGGGAATGGGGGGGACACTGGAAAGGGGGATACTGGGAAGAGGGACGTGCTGGGGAATGGAGGGGACACTGGGAAGGGGGATACTGGGAAGGGGGACACGCTGTGGAATGGGGCGGACATAAGGAAGAGGGGAGGCTGTGGAATTTTTAAGCCCTAAAATCCCTTTAAAATACAACTTTTTTAGGGAGCACCCTCAGTATCCAAATCCCTTCCCGTTCTATTTGTCCGATGCCGGAACTTTGGGGGGAGTAATTTCCTCCAGAAAGCCCCCGGTGCCAATGAACCATCGGCAATTAGATATGCTAATGAGGTCATCACCCCCCCCCACACACACACACCCTTCGGCCCCCCCAAAATGTGGCACCCGCTCCCCAGGGCACCCCTTGCTCGGTGGGGTCACTCCCCATTGCCACGGGGGGGGGGTGTTTGGGGGTCACCACCCTAAAACTGCAGTGGGGACCCCACCAAAAACTGCCGTGGGGACTCCCCGCAAAAAAACTG